TGTGGCACAGCATTTGCCTAGCATATGTGAGGCCCTGGATTATATCCTCAGCATCACAAGAAGTAAGAAATCCTTGGGGTTTGTCTCCTTCCTCCTGGGGGAAGACCGAGGGCAGCATTTCCTCCATGCTGGTGTAATGGGACTTTGGGGCTTTGTGGGAAGGCCACTCAGTGGGTCACATTGGTTCAGACCCTAAGCGTCCCAATGAGTCTTCTTCCCAGTCTTTAGGAAGATGTTCCCTGTGTGGGTCCCCTCTGTGCCAGTGTAGCTGCCCAGGCACACTGGGTACTACCAATGTAGTTGGCATGGCTACCAACTTTTCTAGGGAATCCTTGGCAATTAGTCTATAAGTTCTGTCCAAAGGACAGTGACCTGCTTGGTGCCTCCCTAGCAGCACTAGTGCTGTAACTAAGTTACTCTAACTTAGTTACTAGGACCATGGCAGTAGTGGCCCTGGTTTTGTGGAGCAATTAAACTAGGTCACGAGCCTCTTAAGTCTCTTTAGTGAGAGACGTTCTCATTTTTCAAGCTCCTTTTGTCACTCACTCGTAGGTTACTATGGCTACTGTTTATGAAGGGCTATAGAAGAAGTTTTATTTTGTTTTTTATAAAAGTCCTCTGAATGTGTTAAGTGAGTAGATCTCAAGGAGAGGGCAGCTTTTACCCCTTAATAGATTTGGAGATCATTGTTGGGGTACAGGATTTACTCTGGTAGTTTTTCGTAGTCTGAATTTCTTAGCAAAAGAAAAGTTAGATTTTGGAGTGGTATTTGTCATAGGGAATACAGATTTGACTCTTGCTGTCTTAACAGAACTACCAATCATTATGGTGGCTAATGGCTCTTACTGCAAAGAATCATACATGGGACGAGAAGGGCTAGATAAAGTGCAAGTGGTACTTTAGAGCTAGAAATTTAATAAGTAGAATGGTATTCATTGCCATTTCCCGTCCCTTATAATAAGCTACTTTTGAACTTGAATGTATAGGAATCATTTGGGATCTTGTTATTGCAAATTGGCTGGGTCTAGGGTGGAGTCTGGTGTTGGCATCTCTAACTGACTACCAAAAGATGCTGGTGTTGCTTATCCACTGACCACGTTAAGCAGGTCTATAGGTCTATACATCCAGGTTGCATGTTAATCTAACTTTAATAGTAATAACCATATCTTGATTTTTTTACTGTGTCAGGCATAGAAGAGTAAAATAAAGCAATGAGTGTTAGAATTGGCAACTGAGATTCAAAGAGAAGCTCTTTCCTTTAGCTTAACCTTTAGCACATTTTCCCTAGGGCATGGTTTCTCCACCTTGGCACTATTGCCTTTGAGGCGGAAAGGATTCTTTCTTGCAGCACTGTCAGGTGCCCAGCAGGATGCTTAGCAAGCAGTACATCCAACCCCTACCTACTAGGTGCCAGTACCACCCCAACTCCGCACTGTGACAATCCAGACATGACACAGACAATGCCACATGTTTCAGGTTACCCACTGCTCTAAGGCTACTGTTGAAATATGGGAACTTGGAGGTTTTGTGATACGATGTGCTTCATATAAGGGCTGTTTGCTTTACTCCTGAGCCTCTATATAGAGAGGAAGTAGACATGGAGTAGCCAGCCAAGCCAGCCATTATTGCTACATCTTGCTTTCTAGGGATGCCAGTTCTTTCTTTTTATGAAATACTCACCAGGTAGGTAGGTAGATGTGAGCTTACAATTAAGTTGGTACTGAGATTCTGCCCTTTTTTGAAATATGTGGGCACACTCAGGTACCTTAGCCCTTCCTTCCTCTTACCTCCTGCCGCTGCCCACATCTGTTTCCAAGAAGTAGGTTTCATCTTCTTTCCAGACTCCCAGCCCCTCACTTTTGTCTAGCTATGAGAGCAGATAACTAAGTCTTTAGAACTATTAACTGAAATAACATGTCAGGGGTTTGTAAGCAAAAGTCTCCTCCTAATGAAAAAAATCTTAAAATTGATTTGATAGAAATACAGTTTTTAAAATGTGATTCTAATGTCCACTGTTTAGATGTTCTTTAAAGAAATCAGTAAGACCATTGGAAGCTGAAATGTAACTTGGGTTTCTGACTTTTGAGATGAAAGAACAGTAGAGTGGTCCGAGTGAAAATGGAAGAGAGCTCACAAAAATAAGATTTTAAAACAAAACTTTGTGGAAATTTTTAAGACAGTTCAAAGGAGCACATCAAATTCCATCTAATGCAGTTTTATTAGTTTCATTAATTTTAGGGGATTGTACCTTAAGTGACTTGTATTCTTTCATACTGTTTGAATTCTGTTTTAAACTGTGTTAAGCAAAAGTTACTACCAGTTGATAGCTTTTAGAACCATATAATCACCAAGACAGTCTTAATGAGGTACAAGATTGTGCAGTCCTGGCCAGTGGTAATTGGAGAGAAAACACATCATCTCTGGGGTTGTGAGAAAAGCTGTCAGAGGTTAGAGTCCCTGTTGAGTTTGCTCAGTGGGGTGTTGCCTGACAGTTAACAGATTTTCCTATTGTGGCTCATGACGGTACCTGTTCTAGTGTTTGTGTACCTGTGTGAGGTCAGAGCCATTGCAGTAATAAGAAAGTGATGTGCTAGTAAGAGAAAAGACTATCATTTTTCTTGGAATGTGTGCCTGCCATAGTAGTATTTGTTTTGAATAGAAGCAAAAACAACTAAGTTATCTTTCTTTGCCTTATATTAAGAGTTTTATGTATTATACTGCTTTTTTGAAAAGTGAGTCACAGACAAACCTTAAATCTCTAAGAAAATCTGAAAGCTGGGTGCAGTGGTACACACTTATGATCCCAGCACTTAGGAGGCTGAGACAAGAGGATTTCAAGTTCCATGTCAGCCAGGGCAAATAGTGAGGCCCTGTCTGGGGAAAAATGAAAGGCCTAGCCGTGCTGTCTTTGTCTACTCAGTCATAGCTTCTTCACAGGATGAGTCTAATCAGAGTTAAATTTCAGCATCTTCACACATGGATAAGAGGTTTAAAAAGGGGTGGGGGTGGGCACAGCCTTATACTAATCTTGTACTAATTTCTTTAATCCAGTGATAGTTGGCTATTTAAAAAAAAATAAATCCAGCCAGATGCTGGTGGCTCACTCCTGTAATCCTAGGTACTCAGGAGGCAGAGATCAAGAGGATCGTTTGAGGCCAGTCTGGGCAAATAGTTGGCAAGACCCTATCTCAAAAATACCCAACACAAAAAACAGTTGGTGGCATGGATCAAGTGGTAGAGTGCCTGTCTAGCAAGTGTGAGGCCCTGAGTTCAAGCCCCAGAACCACCAAAAAAAAAAAAAATCATGTATAGGGCTGGAGTTGTGGTTCAAGTGGTAGAGTACCCGCGTAGGAAGCCCAAATCCCTGAGTGTAAACCCTAGTACTGCCAAAAAGAAAGATTCTGTATTGCAGTATTTGAGAGAACCTAGTTTAGAATGTCTCAATCAAAGTTAGCACTCAGGGCAAAGGGAGGCTTCAGGCAAACTTGTAATCTGTATTTTTTTGTTGTCATTCTTATCTGTCCTTAATACCTTAATTCCAATTCCCTGTTTCCCAATTCAGGACCTTATACCCTGATTCATACGGATTATTTAACTAAATTACATGCTTTTCTAAAGTATACTTCTTTTAACCACTGTTTGAAATTGAGGTTGTGTTTCTTATGGTGGAATAAAAGTATCTTCCTGATAAAGCAAGGTAACAGAGTCCAGGTGTGGAGGCTAAGGCAGGGGGACAGAAAGTTTAAGGGCAGCCTGAATTACCCAGTGAGACCCTGTCTCAAAAAAAACCCAAAAATAAAACAAAGTGAGGGGACAGAAGGCTGTTAAAGGGTGTGCCTGGCTGACCTGAGTCATTTTAGACGAAATTTGGGGGCGGGGGGGTAACGCCTGAACAGACCCTTTCCTTCAGCAACTGCAGGTTGACTCTCCTGACACTGGTCACCTGAGAGCCAGTAGCTTTTGCCCTCTGCCCTGTAGGTTTTCCTGCCTATTTTCTAGACCAGTAGACCTGAACTTTCCCAGTGAGAACTTTTTTAAAAGGCAAAACATTTGCAGCCATGACAAGAAGCTCCATAAATTCATCCAGTAGCAACAAATGTCTGAAGTTTTTTAAATTCAGGTACCAGGGTTCAATTAATGTTTGAAGTATCATAGAGAAGACAAGGCCAGAATATATATTGAAATAAAAACTGAATAACTTGAAATTAGGTGCTTGTCGTTCCCCTCCTTTTCCCGCCCAGTACTGCTTATAACGTAAAAACATAGAATGTATTAGATCAAGATAAGTTATGGAGATAAAGAGCAAGGGAGAAGAAGAGCCAGTCTATGGATTGGAAATTGAAACTTCTGGTGCTTAAAATGATGACAAGAAGTGACACAGCACTGGGAAAAAAACCAAAAACTGTCATTAGTCACTAACTTGGTTTCTGTGTGCTAAGATTACTTTCATTTTTAAATAATTATTTACGTTATGTATCAAGGGAACAGTTGAGAGTGAGAAAAGTTTCTTGATTAGTTGCAGCTAGATAGGCTTAGAATAGTTTGACATTCTTTAATCATCTTATATATTTGATTGATGGCTAGTGGGTTTTTTTGCACTTCTACATCAATTCTGCATGAAAGATACTTTGTGAGGAGAATCCACACATTACACAAAAAAAGGGAAGAGAAGTGATCTCCACTCAGTTTTGAGACAGTGTAAAAACTGGACTAGTGGGAGGGTGAATGAAGGAGATTAAGGTGAGGGAATATGGTTGATGGACTTCATATACCTATATGAAATAGAACAAAGAAACCTCTTGCAATTGCTTTAAGTGGGGCAGAGAGGGTTGAGGGGAAGAGAGGACAGGGATGATCTAACCCATGTACAATATAAGCCTAATTAGAATTATCACTATGAATCCCCCCGTGTAACAAATATATTCTAATAAAAAATTTTATTAAAAAAAAAAACTGCCCTAGTGCCACTTTAACTTATGTGTGTCTGTGCTACTTCACAGTGCCGGTCCCAAAGGCGATAACATATATGAATGGAGGTCAACGATTTTAGGGCCTCCAGGATCTGTGTATGAAGGCGGTGTGTTCTTCCTCGATATCACTTTCACACCAGAGTATCCCTTCAAGCCTCCAAAGGTAAGAAATCCCCGATTTGTGCTCAACTTTACTAATTCCTATGAGAAAGATCTATGAAAAAGTTTTTAAATTATATGTTTAATCACAAAAGCTAGTCTTCTGTTATATCTTAATGAATCTGAGTATATTTAAGTGTACCAAAACATTTATTTGGGTTGACTTTGCCTCATTTGTCAGAAACCAGTGCTTAAAGTTGGGGTATTTATAAGTAACATTGTTAGCAGCCGAGAATTAATTTTCCACCTTCTAGAAAAAAAAGTTTCTGGTACTTGCTTCAGCAGTACATATACTAAAACAGGAAGGATACAAAAGAGACTAGCATGACCCCTGCACAAGGATGACATACAAATTCATGAAGTGTTCCATTTTTTTTTTAAGTTTCTGAACAGTTAAAAATTGTTTAAAATACCCATGTACTGAAACAGCTAGAGAACTGATGCTTTAGATTGTGTTTCTTGTCACTTTTGATCTTACTCAAATCCTTACCTCTAGGCCTCGGTCCTCTCAATAGGAGAGGTAGCAACTGCCCAAAAATCCCATCTCTGTAACACCCGGCAGTCTGTGGGTTCTTATCCTCACTAGCTGGAGGAGGAGGGCCTCTTCTTGAGGGTCAGGTAGACTGCTTAGGTGTTTTGAAAAAGTCTTTTTTTACTTTAGTTTGTATTTTACAAATAAAAGTGAGGAAGCCAAACAAATCATGCATGTTGATATGTCAATTTCTGGATCCTCAAACTTGGGCAACTCCCATTTGAGTACATTCTGTTGTTTCAGTAGACAGAATGTCTGGATCTGATGTATGGGTCGGAACAAAAATATATCTTCTGTATTTGTTCAGTTTCATGGGTATAAAGTCACTATTTACTATTTTTTAATGATTCTGTATTTGATTCTGAAGCTGCTTTGAAACAGTGCATTACTACCACCTAACACAAGAGGTCAGCAAACAATTACTGGAACTTAGAAATGTTAACATTAAAATTGCTAAGATGAATTAAGGAAATAATTGAGCTTTCTTTGCTTTTGTCAGTGGACATTGCTGTGGGATGAAATTGACAATCCCTGAGATGGTGTCTATGAACACATTCTAATGTCAGACTTACTAGTTTTAACCTGTCTTGTCAGCTTTAAACTATTACTTTATTTACCTTTTAAAAGCTTAAGTATCTAGGAGCTTGTTTTCAATTAGCATCACTCAGTTGAAAAGTAAGTAAAAATTTTGCTGTTTGAATACCCTCTGATACTACCTTATTTTTTAGGTTACATTTCGGACAAGAATCTATCATTGTAATATTAACAGTCAAGGAGTTATTTGCTTGGATATATTGAAAGATAACTGGAGTCCAGCACTAACCATTTCTAAAGTCCTTCTTTCTATCTGCTCACTTCTTACAGACTGTAATCCTGGTAAGGGTAATAATTATTTACCTTGTTTTAAATTCCTCATCTGCAAAAATACTTGTTTCCACGTAAACTAAGATGCTCTAATGACAGATTTTTGTGAGAACTTTTAAAGGAAGCTTACCAAGAAGTTCAGTTGTCCAGTTGGGAATGCAGCAACTTTACCACTAGCTGCCATTGGTCAGCATTTAGTGATTGCTGAGTTCTGATTGTTGGGACTCTTAAAATAAATGTAAATGACTTCACATAGAAATTTAACTATTAGAGATTCTATTTTCAGAGGAAACTGGAGGTACAGGTTTTGACATGCCAACTAGGCTTTTTCTAGCTGGCCAGTATAGACTTAAGCAGTGTTACACTTAACAGTGTTCATAGTGCTATGACTACTGTCACTGAGCTAAAGGGCAGATGAACCCAGCTGGATGTTTACAGTGGTCTGCAGCCTTGAACGTTCCAGACTCTACTGAACATAGCCTAACACACAAAGAGCAAAGAAACACCAATTGGGTGTCATTTTGGGGAGAGAAATGGAATAAGGGAATAAAACCAGATTATTGTAGTAAGAATCTCACCATCCCCTTTGTAAAGTTTAGAAGGAAAAAACACCAAGAATAGTAGTGTTGTTTAATCATACACTTCATGGTACATTTCTACCAACTTCTTTAATTTGCTGTGGTTTAAAGTGTTCTTTTCCTTTCTCCAAAGTAATCTACATTTTTTTCTTCCAGCCGACCCTTTGGTGGGAAGTATTGCTACTCAGTATATGACCAACAGAGCAGAGCATGACAGAATGGCCAGACAGTGGACCAAGAGATACGCTACATAAACTGGGTTTTAACAGTTCTTACGTTATTTGTCTGTCACAGAAGAGAGCTGCTTATGATTTTGAAGGGATGGGGGAGGGTGGGAGTTGGTAAAGAGTAGGGTATTTCTATAACAGATATTATTCAGTCTTATTTCCTAAGATTTTGTTGTAACTTAAGGTATCTTGCTACAGTAGACAAAATTGGAATAACAACTTTTAAAACTCATTAGTTCTGCAGTATTAGCTGATATGTAGTACAGAAAAGAAAGTACACTTAGACATTTGGTTTCAAGTGCTTGTACTCTATAATTTTAAAACAGCTTTTGTACAGGTACACAGCCATTTATGTAAAGGCCTTCATTTTCCCTTCTTGGAAGGGAACGTTGATATTTAATAGTTTTAGATACTGTCATCTCATATATAAAATGGACACGTGGCTGTAAGACAACATGTAGAAAATGAGTAGTTAATGTATTTTATTTTATATGCAAATCTACTTTAAATGTTTGCATCAGGACTTGTGGAAACCTGTAGTGAAATACCTTAAGCTGTTAACTGTAAGGCGTGGAGTAGGAGTCGCTCAGTGGATTGGTTATATGTTGTAGACTTCTTACGTCTGCATTTGTTACTGTGCTAATAAACAATATTAAAAACAGCAACCTGAGCCTGCTCTGTCCATTTATTTTCTCTTCCTTTTGGTTACAGTTCACAGATTCATTGCTTCTGAAGCAATTTACTGCATAGTCAATGAATAGGTTTTGTTTACTGGTTCTTTAGTTTATAAAACAGATTTGGCCATGCCTTAGAAAAGATTACATACTCTAAGCCATCTAGGTATCATAGACAAACTACACTGCATCTTTTTAAGAGCGTGCTGTGGCAGCAAGCGCGTAAGATGGCTTCAATCACGGGTAAACTGGTAGAGCCACCTGAGAGCCATTCTCACAAGCCAGCAGTTCCAGCGGCACACATGCTCAGGACAGCGTTTTAAGAGCATGCTACCTGTGTGTGTTAACGGAGATCTGACGCTAGGGCCGCGAGCCGGGGGGTGGGGGGGGTGGGGGGGGGAACCCAGTGGCATCTGCCCGCTCCTGTTCCAGGAGCCGACGCGCCAGCTAGGCCGAATAGCCGATGGGGTAGCGAAGGGTCGAGATGGGAGCGCGAAGCTCTACCTAGTGTTGGGCAGCACGGACTCGGGGCACCCAGGGGACGGGTGCATTGTCTTCCGGAACTCGGCAGGAGACTGGTGCGAGGTGAGGCGGAGGAGGTGGGCAGACGGCTGGGAGCTCTGGAGGAAGCAGAAAGCGGGGGCGTGCAGCGTACCCTGTGGGGTTCCTTAGTATGGAACCGTGGAGGGGAGAGAAAGACTGCCCAAGGACACCAGGAGTCCAGACCGGGGGTGCGGCTTCTAGGGACAGAGGGAGAGGAAGGGAGGGAGGGATGGTACTTGCACCTGCCCCCCTACAGCAGCCCATCCCCCGCGGCGCCGCTCCAGCCCTCCCACACTCATTCCCCGAGACCATCCAGGCTGCACCTGGAGGAGCAGAGGTTCCCCACCCCGGGCCGGGAAACCCATGCCCGCCCGGTTACACAAGGTCGCCGCGAAGCCGCCGCCGGCCACCACGGCTGGGCGGATGATGACGCGGAGCCCTCGGTCCCACTCCCCTCTTCAGCCCGCACCCCGGCCCACCCACCTGTCTCCGAGACCCATGGGGTGGGAGTCCCGGGTCCTCCGCTCGCCCTTTGTCCGCTGGCCCCACTCACTTCTCCCTGCGGTTCCGGGAACTTGTCCAAGTTCGGCCCGGAACTTGTGCCCGGTTGGCTCCCTCGTCCCGCCCGCGGCCGCCGCCTCCGCTGTCACCGAGCCCCGCGCCTGGCACCCTGGCTCCTGCTGTCACTCTGCACCCACTTCCCGCCGCACCAGGCAGATGGCAGCACGCGCCCAACCTCCACCCCGCCCCCGCCGGCCTGCCGCAGAGCCCGCTGGGATTCGTAGTCCTAGCTGCAGCCCGCTAAGCAGGCCGGAATTCTCAATTCCTTTCTACTGGCCAAGCTCCAAGAACTTAGAACTTTTGTTCCATTATTTCCCTTTTCAAGTTTTCTTTCGCCTTTCAATTAATGATGTCCTGGACCACTACGTTACATCTTGTGGTCTGTCGGATTACCAAGAAGGGGCCTATAGCAGGCTGCTTTTCCAGAAATCTAGGAAAGATGTAGGGTCCCAGCTGATGTGCTATTGCGATAGAGACCCCTCCAGCAAACCGGTTTCTTCCCCATGATTTGGAGTGGGATGCAGGACCTGGTTCTTGTCCTTTTACCCTTGCCCCTGAGGTTAAGAGGCAAGATTGAGGTCAGCCTGGTGAAATAAGAGCCTGTTAGCCCACCCGCACCCCTTATGGTTCTCCATTTACATCCCCTCCTCAGCCAGAGCTTACTAATAAACTCACCCACCCCACCCAACACACCTACACCCACACTATATTGGTGATCAGTGTCACCTTCCTTTGGTGGAAGTTAAGGGTACTAAACCATCATTTTTTGCTTTCCCTCCTTGTACTCTTCCTCTTCCTTCCTTTGCTTCTCATCTTCCATCTCTTCCTCCTTCTTTTTTCTTCTCCTCCTCCCCACACCATATTACCAGGTTTTCCTAGGAAGCTTCTAAGGAGGAGAGGAACAGAACTCTTTCTGAGCTGGTTACAGCAAGTGGGTTTGATTTTCATGTAACTCAAACAGCTATTCCTCTTATACAGTTGAAGGCCAGCCCCCCCTTCAAGTACAAGTCCTGGGACATAGGAGTTTGGGTAAAATCACAATCAGCCTAACTCTGCTCTGCCTTCTGAAGCTCTCCTGGAAATAGTTTACAGCGGCATGGTTCTCCCTTAAGGATCCATGACTGCTAAAGTGCATATAGGCATCTAGCATCCTTCAGAAACTTCTAGCCAAAATCAATTAACAGATGAGGAAATGGACACCTAGCTTTGGGATGTGCTTCAGCCCCCCCACCCCCAAGTCACAGTGATAGTAGACATACAAAACTATCTTCCTGTTCAACACAGAAAGGTCCTCAGGTCAGTGGGGTAGTTGGGAGGGGGGGGTTAGTTTGTGAAATAGGTTAGCAGAGTATTTTCCATTGTTAGAGTAGGACCCATTACAAAGAAATCCCCCAGTGCTATTATCACCCTCTTACCTCTCCAGAGGGATGGACTCTGACTCTGATTACTATAAGGACTAGTTCCAAGCCTGACCTCAGGCCTTATTTCTCTTAGAATCTCAGTGACCCACAAAGTCCGTCAGAAAGAGACCTGCCAGGACTCTCACCCTCCACATTTCCAGGCAAAGGAATACCTTATAGGTCACAGCTGCCCCTCTGGTTCAACCCTCCCCCCAAGAAATAAAATAAACAACAACAGTCTGACTAAACATGGAGAACTATTTATTATTAGAGAAAGTCCAGGGTCCAAAAAAGGAAGGCTAGATCCAGAGAAGAGGCACAGATAGAACCCCTCACGTGCTGAGGGGTCAAGAGGAAGAAGGGACCCAAGTGTCCAGGCAGCAGTTCTAGACGGCAGTGGCAAAGCCAACCCTGTTGTTGCCCACGTCAAAGATGGCATAGTAGGACCTGAGGAAAACATCTCCAAGGATCCAAGTGGGCTGATCATTTAAGCTGATGTCAATGGACTCGATTCCAACCATGCAGTAGCCATCATCCTGCTCAACACAGAAAGGAAGCACTTATTCTGTTGCTTATACATTAGTTGGACACTGCTCAGTCCTGAGCTCTGGATCAGGGACATAGGTTTGGATATGTGCGAGTCAAGGACTGTGCTTAGAGCTTGTAGGCCAGCTGGTCCACCAAGCAGGGGCTAGTGAGAGGGATTTCCCAAATAGGTGAATTCAGGCTACAACGGCCCCCAGCAGGTCAGCTCTGCACAGGCCTCCTCCTGCTCCTGACGTGCTGCAGGTTAGTCTGGTCCAACTTAGATTCAAACCTTAGCGTATTCCTGATTAGCTGTGTAGCCTTCGGTCAATTTCTCAACCTCTCCAAATTTTCACTTGTAAAACAGAAATGAGCTTTGCCCACACCAAATGCTGTGATAATGCAGTGGGATGGCCACACGGGGTGCTTTGCACAGTGGTAGCCCAGTGTCTTTCTCTACTAATGGGTGGCACTCTTCTGAGAGGGGAAAATAAAGGGGTGCTGCCATTAGTTGGAGAATGGCACAGAAAAGGAAGCTGAACATTTCTGACTCTGCATTCCTTCCTCCCTCCCACCCATATCCTGGTGGCTCTGCCCACGGAGAGCAGGACTTACACTAATGATGTAGGCAGAGGGCTCCAGAGGGAACTGCACACCATTGATGATGAAGTTGAGTGTGGGCAGGCTGTCGATGCTGTCACAGCTCACAAAATACTGCAGCGAGGAACAGGGCCCAGGTTGCCTCATCTCCCACCTGACACATCCCCCTAAGTCTGCCACCTTGGCATCCCAGGCCCCAGCCCAAGCCCCCAGACTGGAGGGCACAGCTGCAAGAGAAACCTATGTACATGACACCAGCATTTCACATGTGGACCAATATAGATGGGTGGGATTTGGGGAGGCCTGAGGATCTTCTCCACCATGAAACGTTCCTCTTGCCTCAGTTTCCCTGAGACCTTGGATCACTGCACTTTCTCTGCAAGAGTCATTTTAAAATACATAGATCCATAGAAAAAGCACCCATTGGTCCTCCAAAGTTAACAGGAATGGGCTCAGGATAGAAGGGAGCAGGGGAGCATTGCTCTATGTGGATTAAATGATTGTCCCTTTGTCACTCTCTTAGACCATGTTCCAGTTATTTTGCTCTAACCCCAAAGCCCAAGAAGAATTTAATCCATTTCCCTGAACCATTGCTCTCAGAGGAAATTCCTGCCTAATAGCACCTTCTGTGTCCTCATCTTACCCAGAGACTCAGGCATCCCAAGTCCCTCTACCACCAATGCCTTGGGCAGCTGGAAGCATGGAGACCAATATTTCAGCTATTCTCCAGTTCCCAGGAGAATCCACAAGTGCCTTTGGGCCAGTGTCCCCTGGGGCAGGGAGACTCCTCCACCACACCACACCTACCTCTCCCAACAGGTTCCCCTCGGCCCCTATGGCCTGCATAAGGGTACTCAGGTAACTCTCGGGCACGGTGAGCAGAGAGGTGCCTGTGTCCACAATGCCTTGGCAGCCCTCGGAACACACGCCAGAGGCCTGGTCACTAACAAGGAACCTGAATGGTGAGAAGATGACAACCTCAGCCCCCACCAATTCCAGGCACCAGAGCAGGTTTCCCACCACTGAGGAGTGATAGCCACAGCTCAGAGCCCAATGTGCACTGAGGGAGGAAAGGACCCTGCAGAGCTCAGTACAGTGAGTCTCTTAGACTATTTCAGATTCAAGCCAAGGCCACCAAAGTGGCCCTGAGATCTACTTCAAAAATGTTTCAAGGAAGGTTCAAGAAACACTGAAAGCCAGGACCACCGATCAGTTGAAAGAACTTGGGAATATAGCTCAGTTTCTCATCCATGTGTCCATGGTGTTAGAAACAGGGAATCTAATGTTGGAATTCCAAGTCTAAGCTGAGCTGGCTTTGAGGCTCCTGCAGAGGTCACCTGTGGTGGTCCTCTGTGCCCACCCATGCCTCCATAGCCTCCAGGTACGTGAGACAGAGGCTGCAGTGAAGCCCACTCCAAGAACAGCCAAACCCCAGGCCCCCACCACAAACTCACTCCTCAATTTCAATCTGCCAGTAAAGTTTCTGGGTGACAGAGGCCCAGTGGATGTCCCCTTTGTACAGGCTGTTGTCCACACCCCCGAAGATGATTTCTCCCCCATCCTCAGAGCCTTCGTTGCTGCAAGAGACAAAGGGAAGAGTAAGTCAGGGAGACGCTGCAGAAAAGGACATCTGTGCCAAGTAGTCACCTTCAGAGGGAAACAGAGCTCCTTCCGGGCTTCAGATCAGGGTTCCCTGATGACAGGCTGTATTCCACTCAGAATGGGGTTACCTGAAGCTAGGCTAAATCTCCCTCAGACTGGGGCTCCCTGACACAGGGCTGTGCATCCCTCATACTGAGGCTCCCTGCCTGGGCCTCCCAGTGCCTCAGGCTCCCAGTGATGCTGCCAGCAGAGCCCTGCCTCCAGGGAAGCTGCTAGTTGGTGGGCCTCCACCCCACCTAATGCTGTGTTCTCCTCTGCCTTTCACTTCCTGCCACTAATGGAATCTGTCACCGGGAATCCCATCCATGCCCAACTTGTTACTTTTCTGCTGGAATTGGAGAGCGGTAGGGCTCTGGTGGAGGGTAGGGAAAGACCTCCCATGTCCGTTCCAGAAGCTTCCCTGTAGGTAGGACTGGGTGGAACTCCTTCGGGTTTCATATAGAGTGAGTGTAAGCAGAAGCAGAAAGGAAGTCAGCAACATTTGGAGCAGAGGGACAGTGCTTAAGCTGCAGGGAGGAGATGTGAGCTCTCTAGAAGGTGGCCAGCTTAAGAGGAAGGAAGAAAGGCAAGGCCCATGGCACAGATGACAGAATGACTGCGGTGCCTGCTTATGTTTGTTGGAAGGATTTACAACTGCTGAGGAGTCAACTGTGAGCCTAGACCAGAAGACTCCAGGACCGGCTGGAACAAGAGATCAAAGGAGATGAAGCAATAGATTACAATACAAAAGAGGTACACAGTAGAAAACATTGGTCAGAGCTGTGAGCTCACTGGGACCTGACACCGGAGGCCGCCCCAAGAAGCCTGAGAATCAGGGCCGCAACACTCAAGTTTAGCTGGAAGTGGAGACTCTGTCCTGGCCAAGCAATGCAAAGAAAAGTGGGCTGGGTAGACAGAGATTGTGGTTGGGGAAGGATTCAGAAGCCCAGGAGAGAAGGGGTGCCTGGGTCATGTGCCTGGGCCACCAACCCCCAAAGCGTTCCAGGCTTAGTTGTCCAGGGCAGCGCTGGGCCTGAGCTAGGAGCTGGGAATCCTTAGGGTGAGATAGATGCTCACCTGCCAAGGTAGACACTGAAGAGAGGACTGGAGAGAGCACCCTCATTCAGCATGCCCTGCAAGGCGGTAGTGGCGCCCCCAACGGACAGGCTGGGATAGGCCAGGCCCATGATGCCATCGAACTTTGCAATGAGAAAAGTAAGACCTGGCTCTTTCTCACTTAGGCCAAACTCCTGGTTGGGGACCTTGATGTTCTGGACCTGGAGGGGGATGCACAATGGAGGGGAGGTGACAAGTCTGACCATACCCATTGCCCCCAGTCTCTCCCCCAAGAGAGCCCCTCTAGGCTCATTCTTCAACCTTGCTCACCTCTACTCCTCCCCTTTTTGACAGGTCTTGCAAGGCCACCTTCTCTTCCAAGTAGCCTTCCCTGACTACAGCAGCACTCCACCCCGCCCTGACTCCCTCTCCTCTGAATTCCCCAGGCTTAAGCTCCTGAAGGAAAAGGACCATGTTCAACTGACTCATCATGGTGTCCCCAATGCCCAGCACAGGATGGCCCTCAGTGAGTATCAAAGCCATGATTACACAGGCCCTGTTGTGCTGAATTCCTTTCCTGCAGAGCCCAGAGTTTCTATTGTGTTGCAGGGGCTCACAAGCTCACATCCCTCATTCTGGGGAGGGAGCTGCACTTACAGTCAGAGTGTCATAGCCAAAAAAGCCAGTGAGGCTACCGGTGCCATACTGCAGGGAGAAGGTCTTCTTATCGGTGTGGTAGGTGGAGGACTTGCTGGGGTTGTAGCGGGGATGTAAGTCTGCAGAGAGAGGCAGGATATGAACTCAGGCTGATGATTAGAGGGCTGCCTGGCTCTCAGGAGCTCTCTGGAACTTCCTACCTCAGCCTATTGCTCACACTGTGCTCACAGCCTGGGGCATCAGCCACCCAAGCTAGGGTCTTCAAGACAGCTCTGGCTCTCAGCACTGTAGCTTTGACCCCATAGCTCCCTCTGACTTACAGATGACTGGGCTGCTCCAGGACAATGGCCTCCCTGGAGACAGGCTGACCTAGACACCCCCTCAGTCATAGGCCCCAGTGGAGTGCTGGCACACTGACTGCTGAGTGACTACTCAGTCAAAGAAGGAGTGAATGGGCCTCAAGGCATCGCTCATCCCCATTTTCCACCCCATCAAGACGCTGGTCACACCAGGATCCTGAGATACCATGGGGGAGGTCAAGGAGGAACCCTTTGAACCAGAGCTGTCAGAGCCTAAACCCCAAGGCTTTGGCAGGGAGCAGAGCAATCTTAAGAAAGTGAACATTGTCAAAACCATGCAGGGCAGTGACCACATCAGTACTGCTCTGTCGTATCCCATGGAGACACCCAGTGAGAACTTGCAAGTAGAGTAAAGTGGAATAGAATGTTGTAGAATTGTGTGGGATGGAATGGAGTGGAAATATTCACAAGGAAAGGAATGGCATGGCCCAGAGGGTACAAAATGAGGTAGGATGGAATAAAATAGGGTGGGGGTAGGTTGAGCTACAATTGGTCAGTAGGGAAGGCAAAGAAGCCACCCAGTTCTGGGCTGGGCCACCCTCTTCCCTCAGATTTGGGGACACTGTGAGACCACACAGGTCCTTAGTCCTCTGTAGGAACGAGCTACTGCCAGCATCCCCAGGGAGTGCCTGTGCCCTGCTGTGCCCACTGCTCCTCCCTGCCCAATCCGGCACTCACAGCAGGCTAGGCTCTTGCAGTAGATTGAGGGCACCCACAGGTTGGAGGAGCCAGTGTCGAAAAGGACCAGGAAGTTCTGGGGTGGAGTCCCGATGCTGATCTCACCAAAGTAAGTAGCCTGGGGGCAGAGGAAAGGGGGGGCGAGGACAGGGCAGGCTGTTAGCTCACAAGGGAGCCAGGAGCCCACAGGCAGAGAAGTGAAGGGCGCAGCCCCTGTCCTCCAGCCCGCACCACAAACAGGAGCCCAAGCCTTCCATCCACACCTGCCCTGAACCCACAGCCCCTCAGTCTGGGGATGCCAGGACAGCCACAAAAAGCGCTGGTGGACTCTGCTAGTCCCCAGATCATCAGGGGCCCTTCCCACACTTTGCCCAAGCACTTGCCACAGGCGAGGAGGCCCCGATGGCAGGACTGGGAGAAAGGCACCAGCCTCAGAGTAAGACACCACAGAGCCCTACGCTTTGGGAGCAGGACAGGGACACCCCAGGAGGGTCAGGACTCACATCCATGTAAGCCACTGGCTCGTGCAGCACACTGAAGTCACCAAAGTTGTTGGCACGGTACTTCTGAGCAGGGTCATACTTGTGGGTCTTCAGGAACTCCTCTAGCAAACCGTTTTCCTTCAGGGTCTGACGGATAGACTTGACTTTCCTCAGGGGGATTCTACAGAAGACTGTGCATCAGAGCAGGGCCCTGCCTCCTTCCCCTTGCTCTTCCTAGTCTCCCAGTCCTCTCTCTCTCTCACTCTGTCTCTCTCTCTGCCTCTCTCTTTCTCTGTCTCTTCCCGCCCTACTCTGTCCCTGACATGCCTACTGTTTGTGTCTCTCTTTTTCTGTCTCACCCAGTCTCTGTCTCAGTCTTTTTCAACCTGTGCCTCTCTCCTTCTTCTTCTTTCTCTTCCTCTTTCTCAGTGTGTGTTCCAAGATTCAGAAAACTACAATCTTCCATCTTCTCCTACACCTTCCCTCACCCTATCTTGAGGCCCTCCTACTGCTCTGGTCTTCCACTTTCAAATATCTCAGAAATTCCTTCTCAGGACATGGAGAGGAACTTTTGGTACTACCTTTCTTCAGGATAAGTGCAATTTTAGAGAAGGCAAAGGTCTCTTCCCAATTGTGACCCTCTGGCACTGGCCGATGTGGCACAGCATGGAGTAGAGGGAACAGTGGCAGTTCTGCCTCTATTGCTAACTCTGTGGCCTGGGGGACCAATGCTATACTTCTCAGGACACCAGGTCCACAGGGAAGGCAGCCAGGGAGCTCTGGAACTTATGAATCATGGTTTCTGCCCATGTCACCATGAACATAGTCACCCTTTGGCTATCTTCCTCCCAGACCTGCTGACTGCAATTGCCCAGGAGTCTGTGTGGGTCCTCCTGGGACTAGTTCCCAGATCCAGAATTCCTGATCCTTCACTTCTTTCCCCATCTTAATCCCCATTCCTTCTGATCCTGCGTTCTCCAGAAATTCTCTGCTAAGCCCTCCACATGAGTTGTGAAAACTGATAGTTGCTTCATGCCAACCACCTCTCCAACATTTGAGGGCCAGGTTCCAGTGGCTCTCACTTACAATCCCCCATGGGCAGAGATCAGGGGGATTACAGTCCAAGGCCAAGCCTGGCAAAAATCAAGACCCTATGTCAAAAATACCAACACATACACACACACACAACACACACAAAGAAGGACTGGTGTAGTGACTCAAGTAGTAGAGCGCCTGTCTAGGAAACATGAGGCCCTGAGTTCAAACTCCAGTTCCATGAGAAAAAAAAAAGTTTCTAAGAGTAGCCAGCTCCTCACCAAATCTGTGATGGTCAAATTCCCAGCTAGGCATAGGTGTTGTATGTAACATATACCTCTTCCCACACACTTCATCTTGAGATTACTTGTGACACCTAAAACAATCCCAGTGCTAAAGCACAGTGCTAAATAATTGTTGTACTGTACTGTTGAGGGAATAATGACAAGAACAAAGTTTGTACATCACTTTTTCCTGAATGCTTTCAGTCCATGTTTGATTGAATGCATGCACACAGAATGGGAGGTATGAAAGGCTGACATTAATCTATAGGTATAACAGCAAGGCAGTGTGGCAGGCTGGGTCCCTCCTGACGTCCTGTAAGCCTTGCCATGTGTGCCTCTTTGACTTGACTCCTAACCTCAGAGGGGAATGATTTACATATACTGCTATTTCTGATGACATGATTTTGGCACCCATAAATTTGGGATCTTTAGGAAATTTTTAGGAAGGAGTATCTTATTACTTATCCAGACAGGATTATTCCTTTCTGTAGGAAGAAGCCATACCTGTCATTCAAGGGCTGCTTGGGCAGTAGCTACCCCTACTCTCTCTGTCTCAGGTCCACGTTTTTCTGAGATGGGGAAGGGACTATGCCTTTCCCATTGACTAGAAGTGTCCAGAAGGCAAGGCTGTCTCTCCTGCCTGATTCCTCCATGACACCAACAAGACAGCTTTCCCTTCTCCTAGCAGAAATCCCTGTGCAGAGCTAGGCAGCCGCTGGCCCAGCTCCCTCTTCCTTGCAGAGCTCCAGCTCCTGCCTAAGGCTCCCTGCACCACTAACCAGGCCCCCAGCTCACCTGGATATTGCTGCCTCCAAGAGTGGGAGGCAGAGCAAGGCCACCACTATCCACTTCATGATGCTGAGTCCCAGCTGCTCAAAGAGGAAAAGCTACTTCGAGTTTGGCTGGTGCAGTGGAGTGAAAACCTAAGTTCTCCTTCTCCCTTTATATTGCCAGGATCTGTCCCAGCCCCTGACTCGCTGCCCTGGGTAAAGCATGACCCCCCACCAGATGCCAGGAGCAGTCCCCAGTTGTGACAACCAAAAATGTTCCAGACATTGGGCATTCCCCAAGGAGGGACAAAATCCTTGAGAACCCACGGTCTATAGGAGATGCACTTGGACATCCAACTAAGTCCAGCATCCCTGAGCTCTTGGAGATGGAGTCTGAGTATCTGGGGATTAGGGCCAGTAACTACCGTGGTCATTATGATGCTGTGGTGGTCATTATGAGCATGCTGGTGGTGGGCATGAAGGCAGCAACGAGGTGGAGGTATGAGCAGTGCTGACTCTGGGTCATGGACGGTGATGCCAGCAGCTGAAGTCCAGTGTTATAACTGGGGTGACACAAAGGCTTTCACAAGGTTAAAAAATCATGGGAACATTTAGTCCTAATTTATTGCATGCCAGGAATGCACAGAGCAAGCCATGCAGCTCTGGCTGTACCTCTCACCTGAGCAGAACAGAGTCTGGAACAAGGCATGAGAAGAGGGACCAGACCTGTCCCTTGCTGCCCTTCTTCTTTCTCTCTCTTTTACCACATTGTGACTCTAACCTGTCTTTAGTTCTAAAATGTCTCTGCTCCCTGATTGTCTCTCTTCTAAATCCTTGTCTGCTCTTTTCCTGGGCCCAAGTCTCACTTATCCTATTCCTCTATCCCTCACCTGCAGTCTCTCCCCTCCTGACATCCCCCCTATCCCCATCTCCACTCACCTCCCAGCTACAAGCTTCCTATGGCCTCAAGTAACCTGGAACTGGCCGCCAACCTGGCCAGGGAAACTCTCTGTCTGGGGATAAGTGGAAAAAGTCTCCCATGAGCACCCTCTGCCACCCCCCGTACCCCACACAAGACTCCAGTTAGATTTATCAGACCCTTGGGACATAGGCAGGGAGGCCAGGACCAGACCTGCCAACCACTGATATCATCCTGAGGGAGTGATTTTTCCACTCTGGCCACCACTGCCCCACCGTCCAGCTGGTGCTTTGGAGCCTCCCCAGGCCCTATGATGAGGGAGGGAAGGAAGGGCGAAGTCTACCCAAGCCTGGACAGACGGGGTGGCCCCTGCCTGATTGTGTCTTAAGGCAACTCAACTCCCCTTGCAGTCCCCAGGGACACATTGAAGTCTGGGGTAAAATGAGAGGTAGGGAGTGGGGGAGCCCAGATTTAGAAGAGCAGGAAACAAGAAAGCTATTAAAATTGGAATCTTGTCAAGTTCATGGAATACTCTAAATCTTGTGCGGTCCACTGGACTCCCCAGCAGGGGCCTCCAGGGACCTTTCCTTACCTGGTAGGACCCGAGGATTCTGACAACTGTCAGACTAGCCTTCCCCATGTCCAAGTGACACCCCACTTCTTTGAGCATTCCTGGCTTACTGTAGCAGGCCCGGGCATCCCTGCTCAGCTGCCGGGCCTTTGGGGCTCTGCAACCCCTGACTGCCCAACCTGACCTTTGACAGCTCACTCAGTCTCCTCAGGGTGTCCAGGCTTCCCAAGTCTTCTCTTACTCTTGGATGATCCCATCTTCATCTACCCCATATCTAAAAAGCCCACTTTTCTACATGACAGGGATCCGTAGAAGTCTTCCAGGGCTACCTCCTACTGAGTACAGTTCATGGAAGCCTGTCCTACTCGCTCCCACCAAGTTCATCTTCTCCTAAACCTAGATGGTGCTGTTCCATGGTGTTGGCTAGGATAGGTCTCCAGTTGTTTCCTGGAAGTGCATTTTTCCTCTCCATAGACTACAAACTCTCAGAAGGTAGAGGCTGAGGCTGCCATCAGTGCCTGGGCCAAGCTCTGGAAATTGAGACTAGACGATGGAGTCCACAAGATTATTCTCGATGGGGCTTAGTGATATCTCCCACACCCCAGTAAGTACTGAGATTTCCACCTCAAAGGGGTCTCCTGGGAGACCACCAGGAGGAGAGCTCAGACCTATGGTGTCTCCCAGGAAGGAGGAATTTTCTCCTCACTCTCTAATCCCACCTCCTCTTACATCTCCTGACTCAAAATATTGCTTATTGGTGGGGCGTGGTGGCTTATTCCTGAAACCCCAGCTACTCAGGAGGCAGACATCAAGAATATCAAGGTTCAAGACCAGCCTTGGCAAAACGTTAGCAAGATCCCCATTTCAATCAAAATCTTGGCGTGGTGGTGCACGTCTGTCACCCCAGCAACACAGATGGTGCAACTAGCCTGGGCAAAACCTCGAGTCTCTACCTGAAAAATAACTAAAAGAACAAGGGCTGGGGGGTGGTGTGCTCGAGTAGTAGACCATGTGAGGATTTGAGTCCAAACCCCAGACCCCCCTACCAAAAAAAGTCCAAACCTGTTACTCTGGTCCCAACCTATGTTTCTAAGCTCACTTTCTGCTACTAAGCTAGGCATACTCCTTGCTTCCTCCAAGGAGGCCTGCTATTTTCCCTCCTCCATGGCTTTGTCCTTATGGTACCCTCCATCTGAAAGAGCCTTTCCAGTACAAAGGCCAGTGTCTTCCCTTCTGTGCCTGCCTACTCTGAAGCCACCCTCTACTGTGGAGTACGTTGATTTTCTCTCTCTTATGGTGCTTACTGCATATCATCTCATATCCTGGTGAGTCGCCCCGAATGCTACAACTTGGAACTCAAAGAAGAGGTGTCTTCCTGCACATTTAAGGTCTCCAGAATCACTGTGGGAGCCATCAGTGTCTCTAGAATAGAGTGACAACTACCTAGCAAGCTTACTGTTGCTGCTTATCCTTCACCCGTGGCAGACATCGTTAAATCAATCATGCTACTCGTTCACACAGTGCACAGATAGAATCCTTCTGTTAGTGTACCCTGCAGCCTTTCTCACTGTATCATGAAATAACAATTCCCAAGTCTTTTTTTTTTTTTTTTTTTTTGGTGGTGGTACTGGAATTTGAATTCAGGAATCCACACTTGCTAGGCACGTGCTGTACCATTAGAGCCACTCCACCAGCCCTTTTTTGTTTTGGGTATTTTCAAGATAAGGTCTTGCAACCTATCTGAGTTGGCTTTGAACCTCAATCCTCCTGATTTCTGCCCTCCTGAGTAGTTAGGATTACAAGTGTCAGTCACTGGCACCTGGCTCCCAAATCTTTTCATCAAGGGTATTCAAAAAGAATTCTGGGTACTAAATTTCATTTAAATTCTGTATTGCATCACCAGGCACTGGTGGCTCATGAGACTCCATCTCGAAAAGCCTGTCACAAAAATAGGGCTGGTGGAGTGGCTCAAGGTGAAGGCCTTGAGTTCAAGCCCCAGTACCTCAAAAAACAAAATCTGTACCACTTTTTATAAAAATCAAGATGTGCTGGGGTCTACTGCCCAATGGTAGAGTGTTTCCTTAACGTGTGAGATCCTGGGTTTGATCCCTAGTGCCACAAGTTTAATAAGAACTTGAAGCCACAACTGTTTTACCCTTTCTAAATTATCTTCTAGCCCCTATTGTACACACTTAGATTTTAAGCATAACTGTAATCAGTGTGTAAATGCAACTTCTGTTCTTCTCTTATCACATAGGCACAATGCGTATGGCACATGTGAATGCATTTAGATAGGCCACCTGCGTATCACTTGGTTATGTGGCGCTCTATCATCTCGGCAGCTAAGATTACTTGGCCCTATTCATTGGGGTGCTTTCCAGTTTCCCTCAGCTATCCATAGCACTCAGCCTTACTAACTAAATTTCATCCCAGGGGCAGAGGAGTGAGCTGCCCACGACCAGAGGCATCTGAGTCAAGACCAAAGGGGCACTTTTGAGGAGCACGGGTAGAGGTGGCTCTTACTGTGAGTGTGAGATTGGGACAAAGAGCCGAGTTTCCCCTGAGCGTTCTAACCCCTGAGCTTGTCACATCAGTGCTGGGACAAGGACTCCATAATCCTTCTGTCGGCAACTGCCTGCATGAATTTTCAGTAGTTTCAACTATTCTCTTGGATTTTAACTTTTTTCCTTAAATATGGTGTGTTTCATACTTACATCATTACCTGCACCAAACCCACTGCAGACATATTGGGCCTGAGATTTGTTTTCTGTTTTGTTTTTTTCAAGTCCAAGGGTTTGGGAGTGGGGTTTGAACTGAGAGCTTCGCACTTGCAAAGCAGGTGCTCTAACTCTGAGCCACACCTCCAGTACATTTTGATCTGTATATTTTGATCAGTTTATTTTGGAGATGGGGATCTCAAGAACTATTTGTTCAGGCTGGCCTAAAGCCACTATCCTCCTGATTTCAGCCTTCCAAGTAGCTAGGATTACAGGCGTGCATCACTGCCATCGGCAGGTTTATGCTTTTTTATTTTCACATAATTCTAGTCTTGCAGAAAACTTGCAAACACAGTATAGAACTCTCACACAGCTTTCATCCAGCATCCCCTGACATTGTCATCTCACATAATAGCCACACTACCATGATCAAGCCCAGGAAATTAACCCAGCTATTACACTATTAAGTAACCTTCAGTCTTTATGTAAATTTCACCAGGAGTCCCACCACTACTCTTTTCCTGGTCCACTGTACAATCTAGATTCCCACATTGCATTTACTTTTCATTTCAATCTCCTCTGGTCTCTGACAATTCCTCAGTTTGTCTTTGTCTATTATGACTTTGCAGATTTTCCCTTTTTTTGAGGCAGGGTCTCCACACTAGCCTGGAACTGGCTGTATAGCCCAGGCTGGCCTCAAACTCAAGATCCTCCTGCCTCAGGCTCCCAAGTGCTTGGATTACAGCTGTGCACCAAAACATCCTGTTGGACTTAAGGTTTTAAAATAGGCTCTTACTCTCCAGCCAAAAATCGCTTCATGGAGGGTGTGCCAGACAGGTGCTTCGTATCTGTTTAATCATGCAGCCCTCACAACAATCCCACAGATAAGTCGCCTTATCCCCTTCTCCAGAGGAGTGCATTTTATTCGCCTATACCACAGACATCTGGAGACAAATCTTTATAAATCAAAGGATAATCCCCTCTGGTGGTCTCTTGATTAATGTACCCTTGCTCAAAGACTATTGCTTGCTAGTCTAGTTTTGGTGGAAAAGGAAACTCCCTAGGTGGATGGAGGGCATGATACAGAACAGGCCTGCTGTAGGAAGGGGAGGGAGAGGGTGGAGCCTCTGGATTAAGTAGAGTCTGGGATGAACACTGCTAGAACCCTTTCTTTCTCAGTCCTGTTTTGCCACTCCCACCCCTTTAGCTAGTTGTTGTAGTTCTTCCCTTCCTCCTCCTCCTCCTCTTCTCCTTTCTCCTCCTCCATCTTTTGAGATAGTGTCTCTCCGTGTAGCCCACACTGCCTTCAAACTTTCCATCCTTCTGCCTCAGCCTCCAGAGTACTGGGATTATAGGCATGCACCACTGAGCCTGGCTAAAGCTGGCTTTCTCTGTGTAATTGACCAACAGCTGAGCTGCATATTTCCAGGAAAGAGTGGGACCAAAATTCCTAGGAAAGTTCTCTGCTTGGCCCATGCTAGGTTAGACACCCACTCCTGGGCCCATCAACTGTGACCAGAGGAAGGATCTTGTCAAGATATTTGGAAGAGTGTGGACAACAGCCTGGTGCCAGTGACTCACGCCTGTAATCCTAGTTACTCAGGAGGCAGAGATCAGGAGGATTGCAGTTCAAAGCCAGCCCAGGCAAATAGTTTGCAACACTCTGTCTCGAAAAACACTTCACAAAAAGGGCTGGTGGAGTGGCTCAAGGTGGAGGTCCTGAGTTCAAGCCCCAGTACTGCCAAAAAAAAGAATTTACAGTTCATGTTTTACCATGTTCTTTGCTTATTCCATCTAGTTGTTTGACTCTTAAGTTAAATAGTTAACTCATTCACAGTTAAAACCACCTAGTAGCTTACTTCCTACTGTTTGGTTCTGGTTTTTTGACAGCATCTCCTGTTTCAGGCCAACCTCGAACTCCCCATCCTTCTGCCTCATCTTCCTAGGTGGTGGGATTACAAAAGTACACCACCATCCCTGCCTTCTTGGTCTTAAATTAGTTATAATGCTCTCAACTCGCTAAATATAATTAGCCTCATCGTTCAGATCTTGTCAAAATCTTCAGGAAACTAGTACCAATCTAGATAGCTAACTTCAAGACCACTGGTAGCCCAGGAGTTTTAAGATACATTTTACTATGCATGGTTAGGTACTAGAAAACCACTCCAGGGCTGGTAGACTGGCTCAAGCAATAATGGCGCCTGCTTTGCAAGCATGAGGGCCTGAGTTCAAACCCAGTACTGAAAAAAAAGAAAGAAAGAAAGAAAGAGAGAAAAGAAACCACTCCAGAAGACCTAGTACTCCTTCTGGAAAAATGGAAGTTTTATTATCCTTCAGGGCTTAGCCATTTCAAAAAGAAGGAAGAGGCTCTGTGATTTTATTTGTCAACAGGAGCAGACCAAAGAGGCAAACTTGGCGTCTGGTAAGCCTACCTCTACTCGCTGCTGAGTGTTCTACTCAGCACCACAAGATAAGAATTGAGCTTATGCAGTGTCTAAGTTGTGCATTGATATTGCTCCAATTTGGGTACACAAAAAATAGATTATAACTCTAGACATTATATGATTAATGAATGCTTTAAAAAGTTACATTTTGCTAAGACGTTTGCAAAAGGTATACACAGAAAGAATGATAACTCTCAAACAGGGTGGGGCATGACATGTGGGTGTTTGCCATGCAAACTTTATTTTGCTGTTCTGCAAGTGCAGCATAAATAACAAAGGTGATTTCAGGAACAAGCTTAGAACAACGAGAATATATTTCATATCAGGCAATAACAATAGGTTTAGCAAAATAATTTAATAACCTAAAGTGCCTTAAACTACTTCCTTAGGGTTCTCTAGGGAACAAAAGTAAATGCAAAGGGCAGGCCCATCTTAAGTATTGATCTTACAGCACGTCAACACTCTTCAGTAAGCAATTGTGGGATTCTGATGGTTAGTTTTCAGAGCTAGAGTTCCCTTTATTTTTCCTCCCAGGCAAAGGGAAGCTGGATTTGCTCTGGGGCTGGGATAGTTACTAGCTAATAAAGTGAAAGGTTCGATCAGAGTTTTCCGGTCTGTGACAGTCACCTCCCACAGTCTCACTTTCTCGCTTTTCGCCCATTGCTGTGCCACTTCAGCATCCACTTGTCTCTGCTCGGAAAGGTCGATTTTGTTTCCTAATACAACAATTGCCACCTGCAAGAAAGTGGATTAAAGTTGACACTGGAACTCTGCCATCATCAGTTTCCAGGCAAAAATGGGTACATAAGGAAATCCATTCCATATACAAGCTACTTCACTGAAGTGATCCTCAGTGTGACAGCAGTATTTGTCACCTCACTCATCTCCCTGATTGCATTTGTGTTGGAAATACAGATGCACTATGGATTGCTGTCTGCAAAAAAAAAATGTTTTACATTAACAACACAAGTTCCTCAGCTCAAGTATGAATGGAAAACAGACTTGGAAACTGTATCTAGGAGGATGGTGTAAGATGATGGTTTCAGTGTGTCTGCATTTCATTTTGGCTACACTTGTTATTGGGGAGGTTTGCAATACAGTGATTCACTTCATTCCCAATCCCTGAAAAGTGCTTGCTAATGTGGTGTTAAAATGGGCCAATGTGAGTCCTTCACACCAAATACAAGTCAGTCATCGTAAATGTGCATTTTACCATTCACCACTCAATACCTGAGGTGACCAGAACACAGCAGTTACCACAGTGTTGAAGCCCAGGGGAAAGGAGAGGATGGTGCCCAGGCTTGTCCAAGAAGGCACTTCTGAGCCATGGTGGAGTTCTCTGGGAAGGCCATGCCTTCCTGGCAGGGTAAAGGTGCAGGACCAGGGCTCTGGGTGCTCCTCCACTGTACAGTAGGACCCATGTCCCCTACTGCCCTCCTCTCGTTCATCACCTTGATTTTCAGCTTCATGTTATCCTCCGGTGTGACTGCTGCTTCCATCTCCTGCCTGATGGCATAAACTCTTTTTGCCCTCTAGAATTTGGCAACCATCCCTCTGGCTTTAAATGGTCCCTTCATCTTCTTGCCAGACTGAAACCTGACTAGCCTACAGTCTAGCTTTCTCTACCATGCCTCTCCTACCACAACCACTGGGCCCTGAGAAGGGCTAGGGTGGATAAGTGTGTCTTTGTCCCTCAAATGCTGCTCTAAGTGTGTCCTTAAAGACCCCTGAAGAAGATGGTGGCACTAGTTTAAAGTATCTACTGATTCCACACACCTCTTCCCCCACACACTTAACACTGCTCATGAAAGACCTGCCTTATGGCACTACCGTGGTCATAGTTCCTAATGATTTCACTAACTAGGTGCTTCCAGTAACCTGGCCTCTCAGTTTTCCCAATGATACGACCTTCTCCTAACTTCACCATTCACTCCACAGGCGAATCCTACGCCCTGACATCGTAACTGCTCCCCTCTGCAGTAATTCCTGGCAATCCCGCTCTGGCCCACCTCTCCCATCACACCTGACACCCTAAGTTTAACAATTCTGTACACTACAAGGACATACAATCTACTGTGCTACTCCCTTTATCACTGCCCTCTACCTCACTCAAGTCCCCAGTTCCTGCTCATCCGGCCCAGGCTCTTGTCATTTACCCTTAGCCCTGGTTATCCCATCAGTTTCACCAGACACAACCTCCCTGTTAAGTTTAACTGTTACCCAGACTCTGTCCTATGCCACTTAGTTCATGTGGCTGGAGAAAAATATACAACCCTGCTGGCCGCTCCAATTCATAACCACCAACCTCAAGCTGGTGTTCTCCAGCAAACATGCCACATTTCACATCTACCCTAACTGGAGAGAACAGTCCTTGACCCTCTTCTCCAAGCTTCAACATCTCTTCTTCCTTCCCTACCTTCCTTTCAGCTGATGACTCTGCTGTTTCATAGTAAGAAAAGAAGCAATGGAAGACAACTTCTCATGTTTCCACCATACAGAACAACCTGCCATCTTCCCAGCCCATCCAACTGATTCTGGAACACATCCATCTTCTTTCACCTGGAAAAGGATGTCACTCCAGCAGTTACTCCTCCTCATCACCTGTTCTCCCCTCTGTATTAGTCATCCTGTTACCATACAACACGGTGTTACCTCTCATGTAAACACACCCTCTCTTTACACCTCATCCTTCTCCAGCTCCATCTCTTCTCCTTATAGCAAAACTGTTTCACAGCGCTGACTTTCTTCTGTGTTCCAATTCTCTCCTGTGCACTCCGCTCAGACTTCATCTCACAATTTCACTAAAACTGTTTTGTCTAGAACCATCTATTAAAGACTAACCAATTCTCAATCATTAGCCTTTCTGTCCTAACTGCAGAACTTGGCACAGTTTGATCACTCCTGGCTTTAAAAGCTTAGGTCTCCTCCTGGGAACTGGCCACCTGCTTCTCACCTGTTCCTCAAATGTCTACTCCAACACAAGAGCCAAAATGATACTTTAAGTTGAGGCTGGACATGGTGGTGCTTGCCTGTAATCCAGCTACACAGGAGGTGTAGGCAGCAGGATCACAGTCCAAGGCCAGCCCAGGCCAAAGGCATGTGATCTTATCTGAAAAATAACTAAAGCAAAGAGGGTGGAGGAGTGTCTCAGGTGGTAGAGCACCTGCCTAAATAAGCTCAAAGCCCTGAGTTCAACCCCCAGCAATGCCAAAATTAAAAGTAAAAGCAGCTGAAAGTTGTTTAACTTCATTTGTACTAATGAAACTCCATTTTCATAAAATGTACAAGTTTAACCATACACTTGTCAAGAGTAGAGAAAAAGGCATTTCAATGAATCTTATGGAAGGTAATTTGCAATGAATCTACCCTATGACTCCATAACCCCATTTATGCTGATTGATTTTGCAACTATATTGTGTGCAAAATATTAAATGTTCAAGATTACTCACTGTAACCTAATTCATAATAGCAATGACTGGAAACAACCCATGTACCTGCCAATCTGGAACTGGTTAAGTATGATACATTTATGTCCACACAGTGGACATTATTTAAAAAGAAAGGAAATGTGGGTATGGTACTGATACAGGAAGAACTACAAGGTGTGTTAGATGAAAAATACAAGGTAAAGAACAGTATGCTACCTTGGTTAAACAAAAACAAAAAAGAAAAAAAAGAGGGGTGGGGTGGTAATTTTAAAAATCCCTGTATCCCTACTAGCTTGTATTTACATAAAGAAATTTAGAAAGGTACCTACAAACTCATAAAGGGATAAAAGTACTTTAAAAAGGCTTGCCTGAGGTACGTGAATCATGTTTCCTAGTGTGTGGCAGATGTGTGGTGATTAACCCTAGGGATCCTGCAGAGACCAGGCATGTGCTCTAAACTCCTCTAGGTTTAGGGGTAGAAGCACACACTTGGTAAGACTTCAGATCTAGGTGTAGGATCTTGTCGGTTAAGAACTTTACAGCAGTCTTCTTTACATATCATTTTATTTGAGCCATGCACAAACACTACTTATTTAATTTCTTTTTCTTTTTCTTTTTTTGGCTTAGGGATTGAACTCAGGACTTGAGCATCCTGGGTGGGTACCAGGTACGCTACCAGTTGAGCCATTCTACCAGGGCGTTTGTGTTTGTGAACTATGAGAGAGGGTCTTGCTTTATTCTGCAGGCCACCCTGGACCACCATCCTCCTGTTTGTGCTTCCCAACTTAGCTGGGTGTTGACAGGCTGTAGCCACCACAACCCAGCCATTGGTTGAGGTGGGGCTCTCACAAACTTTTTTGCCCAGGCTGGCTTTGAACCACAATCCCACCAATCTCCACTTCCCAAGTAACCTTGACTATAGGCTTGAGCCACTGCACTAACCCTGCTTATTCAATGTTTTTAGATATGAAAATTAATAAATGAAACCTAAACCCAAAACCAATGGTGTGGATCTCACTACAAGTGAAAGGCAAAGTGCTGCCCTCAGGTCCTATGACTCGCTTTCCTAACCTGCTCTCTGGCCTCATCACTGCTTCCTGAATGCCGCCTCAGACCCTCGCACTAGCTATCCTCCAAGGGACGTGCTACTTCCCTGCTCACTTCCATCAAGTTGCTGAACATCACCGCATCAGGGAAGCCTTCCCACTGTGCTCCAAGAGCAAGCCAGCCTCACTATATTCTCTCTTTACTTTTCTACAGTTTCACTCTTCGTGCGTATTCGTTGTTGCGGCTCCCTTCCTTCCCCCATAACGGAAGCTTTTATGGGAACAGGGCCTCTGTTTTTTCTCCATTGTATTCTCTGACCCATGCCTGGCATACCAGCAGTGTTGCTCAATAAGCAATTTTTTAAAACTGGGGCTGCTCCCTTAGGCCCATACCAACCATCTGAGAGACTACTATTATCCTCATTTTACAGATGAGGAAACTGAGGCAACAAAGCTGAGCAACAAAGCCAAGGTTAAGAAGCAAGTTATCAGTGTTTGCTGAACTATTCTTTCAGCTTTGAGGGACACGAAGGGAAATCTGGAGGAGACTCAAAAACATAATTGGGCTGGTGATAGGCTCAAGTGGTAGAGCACCTGCCCAGCAGCTGAGGCCTGAGTTTCAAACCCCAGTACCATCATACACCAAAAAAGGTCAGGCACCAATGGCTTATGCTTATAATGCAGCTGCTTGCAGGCTGAGATTGGGAGGATTGCAGTTTGAGGCCAGCCTGGGATGGGGCGAGGGCGTTTGTTCACAAGACCCATCTCAACCAATAGCTGGGTGCAGCAGTCCACGCTTATCATCCCAACCTATGCAGGGCGCTGAAATTGGAGGATCACGATTCCAGGTCAGCTTGGGCAAAAAAACATTTGGAGAACCCTTTCAACTGAATAAAACTGAGTGTGGTGGCACAAGCCTGTCTCCCAGCTTCAGCAAGAGCAGGTTCCAGGCTGACCCAGCAAAAGGACCCTGTCTCCAAATACCAAAGAAAAATTGCTGGAGACATTACTTGTCCATATGGTAGATATGCCTGTGTAGCAAACATGAAGCTCTGAATTTCAAATCCCAGTACAACACACACACACAAAAGGTTATAGCAGGCAAGCGTGGTAGCATATGCCTGGACCTAACACTTGGAAGGTAGGGGCGGGCGGATCATGAGTTCAAGGCCAGCCTGGCCTACCAAGTGAGACCGGGCCCGGGTCCTCAGGTACAACTGAGATGTAAGTGATACGGATGTGGCATTGGGGCCAGTCTGGGCAAAAAACGCAAACCCTCTCTGAAAAAGAACTAAAGCACAAAGGGCTGGAAATGTGGCTCAAGTGGTCTGCCTAGCAAGTGTGAAGCCCTGAGTTCAATCTCTAATAATAACTCCAATATATAATTAACAAATAAATAAACAAACCACCAGAACTGGACGAAGGTATGGAAAAGCTGCATGTGAGTGGTACAATTTCAAAGTAAAAATATTAGGATAAAAATAAATGAAATTTAAAAGTCTAGGGTAAAAAAGAGCTACCCGAGCTCTTGGCCCAGTGCACGAAATGCGCTCCCGAAGGATGAGTCAGCCATGGAAGCTCTGGTTAAGGTCTAGATAAGAGAGTTTCCAGCGGGGGCATTTAGGGGACAAAGTCCGGCTGCAGGAGAAACAAAGTGGACCAGTGCAGTGAGAATGAGGACAAGGACAAGCCACGTAAGCCTTCACAGACCATGGTAAGGCAGATCTCTATTTTTAGGTGGTAAATAGGTAGAAACTAATAATTACTTACTAGCTGCTTTTGTCTGGTAAGGCTGGAATAAAACAAGGAGGCTGTAAGAGGCCAGAGACACGGTGATCCCAGACAACACAAAATGAACTATGTGGTACTCGAGATATGAAGTCATTAAAATCCAACTTGTACATAGAAAAACAAACCAGAGGCAGAATGAGTGCTGGACCTGATGAATTCAGTTCAATCCTGTCTTTCTCAAGGCTAAAGAAAAAATGATGGTTACAGATATTGAGAATAATAATTTAATGATTTTTAAATGTGTAAACTACCCAAAAATCCACACTATAATCTAAATAGTATTGTAATCCACACTTAGTATTTTAACACGTGCACTTACCTCTTTTTCTTTGAACTTATCTATTTCTTTCTTCAGAAGTTCTACTCTCTGGAAGGATTCAAGGTTATTCACACTGTACACAAGAACAAAGCCATCGGCGAACGAGAAGTAATGCTTCGGCAGCTCCACGCCTTCCTGCAGGCCTCGTGTGTCATACAGGTGTAACTGCTCCTTCACTCCCCGGTCTGTCTCCACGGACGCCATATACACATCTTCCATTGTTTCACTATCTTCCATGCCTGATTAAAAAGAAATTACTCTCTTTGGATAAGCCAATGTCAACTGTTCACTATTTTCTTGTCCTTTAGAGATTGGATTTCTTATTTTTCACATATAATAATCACATTTCTACTTTACTACTTCTCGAAAATGAAAAGCAGTTGTTCATAGTAAATTAACAAGTGCTATTTACAAATATTTCTTTTGGTTAGGAATGTAGCTAAGTGATGCAGCCCTGGGTTCTCAAAATAAAAAAGAGTTCTCCATGAACCTAAGGAGGCATGACTCAGGTACAGTGCTTTGCAAGCACGAAGCCCTGAGTTCAAACCCCATTCCCAACAAAAAAAAAACAAACACTGGCAATGAATTTACCTTTACATATTTTTTTCAGGTCAAGAATCAAGGAACTTGGGTGGGGAGAAGGAAGGTGGAGGGGGTGGTGCCAAAACAATGTATACACACAAAAGTAAGTGTAAAAATGATAAAATAAAGAAAAATACAAACAAAATCATTAAATTCATCAAATTCATCAATTTAATAAAAAGAATCAGGAACTTAATTCCTAAATTGGACAGTTAAAGACTGATTTAAAAAGTAGCTTAGGGCTGGGGGTAGGGTAAGGGGTAGAGCACCTGCCTAGCAAACTGGAGGCTCTGAGTTCAACTACCAATGCCACCAAAAAAAAAAAAAAAAAAGTAGCTCCAATAATTAAGTGGCCTCTTTTCTTTTCCATCACAGCCAAGAACAGGATCTGGGAAATTTTCTGTTTTTTGCAGAACTCCAGGGTCTCTTTAAGAGACTTCAAAACTGCACGTGTCCAGGGTCAAGCAGAAAATCAGGCCTTTGATTGTACCACTGGGCATCCCATGTGAAGTTTCCACAGGCACCTCAACCCTACATACTCTCTTCCTCCCCACACCTGTTCCTCCTCCTTGGTTCTTTCCCTGCATCACCTCTACTGGTCAGTTTTCAGAGTTCTTTTTGAGCAATGACCAAAAAAGTGTGAAAGTTACTACAAGGCAGCCAAGTCTACAATTTAAACATCTGCCTGATCACTGCCTCCTCCAGTGCCTCTAGCTGGTTATCTTCCCCTGAACTTTGGCAGATAGAAAATACCTGGTAAAAGCCTCTTACCCTTTGAAGATGCTGCTGAAAGGCAATTTGGAGACCTTCTCATAAGAACCCCCTTCCCACTCTGCTTTTTGGTCCCTGTACAGGAAACAGCATTTTATACTTTAACCTTTTCCATTTCTGTCCCTTGCACTGGAGTATTAACACCTCGAGAGCCCAGATTGCATTCTATCTTTGTAGTTTCTGAGAACAACTGACTTCAATTAAACAGAAGGGCCTTAGTAAATGTTGCTGAAGGAATGATCTCATAACTGATGTCCCAATTTCAGTTCCCTTCTTGCCTGGGACCTTTTAAAAACTTATTTCACCACTTCGTTCCCTTCATACACGGTTTGTCCTTCAACTACACGTAAGTGGCTTAAGTGAAAGGAACCATTTTTTGTTTGTTTTGTGTCTGTTTTTTTAAGACAGGGTTGTGCTATGAAACCCAGGCTGGCCTCAAAGTCTCAATCCTTCTGCCTCAGCTTCCTGAATGCTAGATTACAGGCATGCCCACATTGAAAAAAATCATTCTGTGCACACAGCAAATACTCAATAAATTCTACATTGATCAAGGAATTAAGAGGAGAAAATTAACACTTTTTTCAGTACTGGGGTTTTAATTCAGGGCCTCAAGCTTGCTAGGCCCCCAGGCCAACACTGTGTTTTAATCAGTAGAGCAGAAGCATATGGTATGGTCCCAGTAACCATGTTCTTATTTATATTTTGTATTTTAAGGGCTGGGGGAGTGGCTCAAGTGGTAAAGTGCTTGCCTAGCATGCACAAAGCCCTGAGTTCAATCCCCAATACGGAAAGAAAAATTTTATATTTTAAAAAGAGCTACGTTCAGAGGTAAATTATATGAATTAAAACCTATACACACACCCAAATTATATTATGTTACACTTTTTGAATATTCTGGTTATAGTTTTCCTAAACAATGTAAATACTGCAGAATGATTTATTGTAGATACCTTACATGAATTGTCCATAAGTACTAAGTAAGCCTCTTAGGTATTAGTTTAAAATGAATAATTACATAATGCTATATAGGTTGGTCATAGAAAGCAAACATTACTCTCATCAGCATAAATATTTACATTAAGGAATGTGTTTAGTGTTTAGGACAGAAAATGAATTGATTACATGTAAGTGGCTCTGTGTCATCTTGTTATAAATTAAGCCTTTAAAAAATTAAAGGTTATTCTAGTAAGATACACACTTACTGGGCTTTGATTACAAAGAAAGTTTTCCTCTTCTGCTTTTTCTCCTCTTCCACCTCACTTTTGTCTACCATCTTCAGTTCAACATGAAGATAAAAGCCCTCTACCACTTTCCAGAATTTAGATTACAGGAAATAATCTTACCGATAGTATGATTTCCATAGAGAAGTTGCTCCAAAATTGCAGTTTTCCCACAGATAACAGTCCACAAACCACAACCTTGCAGCCTTTTCCCATCTTCTCTCAGGATGTCACTGTGAAGAGACTGAAGGGCTTCCATAGAAAGTAAGGCCTCTCCTTACAACTCCATTCCACAGTCCCATTTGCTCTGCTGACCATCGGTGTTATGACTTTCTTTCATACCCTCACAGAGATAATGTAGATACACTGCTGTAAGAACACACCAGTGGGTATGTACTGTGACTATTTTGAAAGAATATGTTTTATACAAATATCTCAGTACTAATTAAGGCTACAGGAATGCAAACAGAATTTAAGATTCCATGAAAAGACTGCCTTTTCAGTATTTACTGGAAAAAATAAACATTTAAGTAAATATTTAAGAAGGCATGAAGAAAACTTTTGGGGAAAGAGTGGATCTGATTTTTTTTTTTTCAAGAAGCATTAATGCTTCTATTCTGCTTCAATTTTTCCCAGTACAAAGATTGGATTTTGGTAGTTGCATGAGCTTTAGTCATCTTTTGGAGGAGACTTAGATAATGCTAGAAAAATTGCCTGGGCATTTTACTCTAGAAAAAGGGAAAGATAATGTAGATACACTGCTGTAGAACACACCAGTGGGTATGTACCTGTGACTATTTTGAAAAGAATATGTTTTATACAAATATATCAGTACTAATTAAGGCTACAGGAATGCAACAGAATCTTAAGATTCCATGAAAAGACTGCCTTTTCCAGTATTTACCTGGAAAAATAAACATTTAAGTAAATATTTAAGAAGGCATGAAGACAAAACTTTTTGGGGAAAGAGTGGATCTGATTTTTTTTTTTCAAGAAGCATTAATGCCCTCCTTACTTCCTGTTTATACCCATGGGAGGAGCAAGGTCAGGTGACATTTTTCAAGACATCTGTAGAAGGCAAGGTGCCAGGAGCCAAAGTAGAAAGGAAAATGGCTCACTCCATACAACAGAATAATCTGACTTTTAGAATTCAGATTTCCTCAATGCTTTTTGCTTTCTTTCCTCACCTCCATCTTCCCCCCAACTCTCCTCTTACCTACAAATGAACATGCCGTACTTTGGCTAAAGGGGCATTACAACTTCCTGCAGTCAGAGACAACTACAACAAAAGGGATTCTGGGTAGCTTTCTGTGCTCTCAGGCTCACTGGGCCATCAAAACTAAAAACCCAATGCAGAACACATCTTAACAGGGACTGAACGGTAGCTACCTTTGTATACATGTTTGTTGCACAGCTTATGATTTTTACCAACTGTGAAAACATGAAGCAACATCTGAACATTCCTTAAGTCTTTCTCACTACTTATTATCCCTCAAATAATTTCTTGTGACAAACCACCCACAACTGCTCAGCTGATAAACAAAATTCAATGCTACTACCATTATTGCAGCACAGTAACACAGTGCTCATTTCTAAAGCAGTGCACTGTGTTTTGCCAGTACACAAACAAGCATCACGTCTGTGACACAACCATCATTTCCTGGGTGGCAAATCCAGGAAATAATCTTTTTCTCTATTTTCCAAGAATATTTACCACTTGCTTCCATGAGCTCCAGTTCTCTTAGGGGGCTTTTTCTTTAGATTTTCAATAGAACTACAATAGGAAAATGCTCAGGCTTTCTTTATAAGGGTGGTGCTTTGTGAAGCATTGGTCATATATGATATGGTATCACCTATGTCTGCAGCTATGGCCTATTTCAAAGGGTTTTCTACACATACCTCTGAACTGATGATTAATTTAATGTTACCTCATTTATCATAGGATTCTGTCCTTTTCGAATACTGTGGATTTTCTAATAATTATGATACCACTGAACCTTTCCTTCAAACATTTTAATGATAATAGCTGAAACTTAAAGGAGGTTTAGGTATATGAAAAGACTTGAAAAGAGAAAAAATTGGGTGGGGATGACTAGGTAGAGTGGTAGCATGCACAAGGCCCTGGGTTCAATACCTTGCACCATGATACACAACAAATAAGTAATTTTTAAAAAAGAAATCTAGGACTGGTGGAGTGGCTCAAGCGGTAAGAGCACCTGCCTAGCAAGTGTGAGGCCCTGAGTTCAAACCCCACTGCTACCAAAAAAAAAAAAAGGAAAACAAATAAAAAAGAAATCTACCTGTGGATGGGAAAATAATGGCAGTACAGTACAATTCTGTTAGAAAATGATGCTGAAATAATCTAAATTCTCATTTTCCTGTGGTTATTTCCTTTGCTCTGAAAGTCCCAGGAGCAATTCTTTCTCTTTTCCCCCATGGTGCTGGGGATTGAATCTAGGGCCTTGTGCATGCGAGGGAAGTACTTTCTTCTTCCTTTTTGTTCAACTAGGGGAGCCCCTATACCACATGACACCCATCTTCTGAAAAAGCTGAAGTGCCTTAAAATGGCAGACATGTAGAATAGCTAAGAGAAGCAGGGCTAGCTATAATGAAAAACACCCAAGCCCTCTGTAAAAAGGAGGCAAAACTGAGTGCTAGCACTGCATCCAACTGGAAAAATGCTGAAGCCAACAGAATCTTGAGCAATGCCAAAATCAAATACTGTATTCCAAAGAATCTTTGGAAAAGGTCTTAAAATAGCTGCTCTAAAAAAGGTGTCAAGCACTGGTGGTTCATGCCTAACTTCTTGGGAGGGTGAAAACAGAAGGATCAGGATTCAAGGCCAGCCTGGGCAAGGAGTTGACGAGACTCCATCTTAACCAATAGCTGGGCACAATGGCATGTGCAAGTCACCCCACTTTTCTATGGAAGCTGAGATCAGGAGGATTGCAGTTGCAGGCAAGTCCTGGGAAAAAAGTTCATGAGACCCCATCTCAATAGGAAAAAAAAAAAAAGCTGGGTGTAGTGGTGCACCTCTGTCATCTTAGTGATGGAAGGAAGTTTAAAGTAGGAAGCACACAGTCCAAGCCAGTGCAGACCAAAAACAAACAAACAAACAAAACACAAGACCCTATTGCCAAAATAACCAGAACAAAAAGGACTGAAGGCCTCGCTCAAACCCCAGTACCAAAAAAAGAAAAAAGGTAGTATACTATTAATTGTATTTTAATTTTGCTTTCTGATTTGGGACAAGGTCTCACTATGTAGCCAAAGCTGGTCTCAAATTTGATCCTCTTGTCTCACCCTCCTTACAGATGAGCACCACCACCCTGGCTCCTGTAATTGTACTTTGATCACTCACTGATACTAGGATTAGAAGATAAATTTCTTTAAAATATGCATTACTTAGCTGGGAGTGTAATCTTAGTTACTCAGAAGGTGGAGACCAGGAGGATCGTGCTTTAAGGCCAGCACAGGCAAAAAGTTACTGAGATCCCATCATAATAAAATGTGGTTGGCATGTGATCCCAGTGACACAGGAGTAAGTAGGAGGATCACAGATCACAATCCAAGGCTGGCCCCTGGCAGAGATGCTAGACCCCGTTTGAAAAGTAATAACAAAAAGGCAAATATACTTTCACATTTATGTGTGTATAAACAAATAAGTTGGTGATTCACTTTGCTGTTACCAGAGAAGACTTCATTAAGAGCAACTAGTAAACATAACTGAAGAGAGGCAGCTCAAAGCACTAGCTAAGAGATGAGCAAGGCGGTGCACCAAGTAGTCCCAGCTACATGGGAGAATGAGGCAGCAGGATCACTTGAACATACATGTTCATGCATTCGAGACCAGCCTGAGCAACTGAGTGAGATACCCCACCTTAAACAAACAAAAAACTACTAGATAAGGACTTTAAGGTTTTTCAGGAAGAAGAGAGAAGGAAAGGGATAAAACACAATAGCCTTCAGTAAGGATTTAACACTATTGAAAGGAAAGCAAAGATGAAAATACAAGTGTGACTAACCAAAGCATGGCTGAAATATTCTAGAGTCTTAGTTGTCCTTCAAATGGAAAACATTCTGGAAAAGCAGATTACATCAGGAGTTGTTGCATCACTGTAATCCCAGCAGTCAGGAGACTGTGGCAGGAGGATCCAGAGTTTCAGGCCAGCTGGGAACAGGGAGATGCTGTCTCAAAAAAGAAAACAGAGGCCCAACACTGGTGGTTCACACTTGTAATCCTAGGTACTCAGGAGGCCAAGATCAGGAGGATAGTGGTTCAAAGCCAGCCCCACACAAATATTTCATGAAACCTTATGTGGAGAAAATTCATCACAAAAAAGAGCTGATGGAGTGGCTCAAGTGGCCCTGAGTTCAAACCCCAGCGACACCAAAAAAAAAAATAAATAAATAAAAGACCTGTTACCATCAATTAAAAAGTATGAATTTCTAGCTGGGTGCAGTGGTACATGTCTGTAATCTGCCTCAGGAGGCAGAGATCAGGAGGATTGAGGTTCAAGGCCAGCCTAGGCAAAGAGTTTGTGAGACCCCCATCTCAAGCATTAAAAAGATGGGTATGCTGGTTCTCGTCTGTTATCCCAGATACACAGGAGGCATACATAAGAGGATCAAGGTCCAGGCCAGCCCAAGGCAAAGGAAAAAAATAAAAAACCTAAAAGCAGAAAAGGGTTAGGGGAAAGGCTCAAGTGGTAGAACATCTGCTTAGTAAGTGCAAGGGCCTGAGCTGAAACCCCAGTGGAAAGGCTCTGGAGCAGATGGATGGTCATAGTGTTCCCTCAACACTGTGATGCTATGACAGGGGAAGCTGCTCAGCCAGAATAGGCATCACAGAGATGCATATACTGCACAAGTAGCTTACCGCTACTTGGTATAGTCCCCACCCTAAGAAACTGGTGTGCAATAAAATTAGTGAACCACTAACCGTCATCTTAATAGACAAGATCCAGTGCAGTCTTCAATGCATAACTGCTTTGCTTTCCAGGCTTGTCAGTAATGCTGCCAGAGGATAAGTACTGCTATGAAAAAACACTGAGGTCTGCCAATACTTTCCTTGAAGATCTATTAGAAACAGCTCCTCCAAATTACAATATTTCTGTTCTTTTGCATAAAGAGAAACTCTATTTTTATAAACAAAGCCAAACTTTTTTATTGCAACTAGAAAAATAATGCCGAAAATGTTCACATCCCAGGAGAGATGTTATAAATCTTTTCTAAAAAATAACATCAAGGGCCAGACATGGTGGTGCATGCCTGTAATCTCAGCTACTCAAGGCCAGTCTGAGCAAAATGCTGGGCAAGCAAGCCTGACATGTTGGCACACTCCTGGAATCCCAGGTCCGTGGGAGGTGAGGCTTTGCAAGAGGTGGAGGGCATGTCTTGCAAGCCTGAAGTCCTGAGTTCAAACTGCAGTACAGCCAAGCCACTCTGACATCATGTCCTACTTTCCAAACTTGGGTTGATCCCAGCCACACTACTTCTTTGGTATTCATCTATTAGTTCTGGCTTGATTCAGCCTCCTCATTTTTCTGTCTGCCACAACCAGCTCTGCACCTCCAGCTCATAAGTTGAGGTTTGGGGGTTTTATATGCTAGTTTGGTGCTGGGGACTGGCCCCAGGATCTCCTTCACGTGAAGCACCTGTTCTACCTCTGGGCTACACTCCTAGGCTTCAGATCTGTTCTTAAATGTCACCTTCTAATCCTAAACACGCCATCTGAAATGGTAGCCTCCGCCAGGTGTGTCTCTTGCACAATCAGCCCCGACTTGCAGGCCCGTCTCATGGTAAGCAGGACTCAAGAGGCACGGTGGTGCAGTACAACAGTGATGATGGTGATGCGACTGTCACCCAACACCCCCAGCCCTTCGTCCCCCTTGATGCTGACCCTTAGCACCGATCACCACACAACGCATGCTTACTTCTGTTTTGTGTTTGCGTCTAAGGAGAAGGCTAGAATGTCTGTGTGCATTGTTCGCTGCTTGTCCCCAACAGTGGGGAGAGCACTAGGAACGCATTAGGCATATAATAAATATTTCTCCAATCCATAACCAGGTGAGAAATCTTGCAATGGTAAAGCTGTGACTTAAAAAAAAAAAGAAAACATGAAATAGGAAAACACAAAAACAAAAACAAAAAACCCGAAGCATTTGCACCTGCCAAACAAGTCGTGGCAAATAAATACTGTGCATTTCTGCAAAACTGCGGTTCTGACGTTAGCAGATTAGGTTTCAAGCACGCGAATGAAAGGCGCCAGCCGTACCCCAACCACCTACAGGGGACAGAACCCCTAAATAGGGCCAGGTAGGCGGGGCGTCCAGGGATGCCCCCACCCTCCAAGCTCCATCTCCACCAATGCCCACCTCGGGGTGCAGAGGCGTCGGGCCCAGGTCTCTGCGGCCAGCCGTTTGGGGACCCCGCCGCGACAACTCAGGTAAACAGACCTGACACTCCGCAGCCCTGAAGACACCTCGCGCGCACACTGCGCGGCTCCACGAGGTCCGCGGCCAGCTGCTCTGGAGCCCCGCCCCCAGCCGGCCTCCTCCGCGCAGGGGACCACGGAGGACACTAGTTCTCCAGCCGGTGGACTCGCCACCTCTCTGTCTCCGCCCCTGTCTCTCGGGCTCAAGTTGGCGGGGTCGAGGGCGGGACAACCCCAAACCGCGCCCAATCCCAGCCGAACTCCGCCCACAGGACTCGCTGCCGGAACTACATATCCCATGAGCCTCTGGGCTACTGCAGCGTTCCACCGGAAGCAGGCTCGGTGAAGTAGAGGAGGAGCCCAAAAAGAATTGTGGGAGAAAGGTCCCTTCCTTTCCGTCTGGCGGTAGCCATCAGGTAGGCTGGGTTGGGTCCTTCGCTCTTGCATCCGCCGCTAATCGCCGTTCTTTTCTGCCATCCGGGCTTGAAGACTTTACGTTCTCGGACCGCCTCCTGCCCCCTGTGCGGCGAGAGTCTTAGACGCGATGCAGGGCAGCTAGGGCGTAGAGAGGCGTCCCCCAGAGTGCGGTGGGGAAAGACGTGATGGCGGCGCGAATTCGAGCTGGGCCCCGAGTCTGAAGTAGGCGTGGGGCAGAAGAATGGAAGGCTTGGCTTTGGGCGGACTAACGCGAGGCTGGCTTTTTGGATGGGAATATGGCTTTCCCTAGAAAGTTAGCCCTCGGTGATTAAGACGGCGGCAGCTGCACCTTTTCCTATGGCATCGGAGACATCTCCTTGCCGCGGAGAGGGGAGGCGAGCCTTTGGGGACACGCCGTGTGTCGCGGCCGCTCGTCCCCTCGGTATCCAAGTAGCTATGTCCGTCCCGCTCACTTTCCAGTCGCTTCCCCGGGCTGTGGGGGTTGCAGGGGTGGGGGCTGCGCTAGCTGTCTGCTGCACTTGGTGCAGAGCTATTTCTAATCCCAGCGGTTTGCTTGTGGCCGGTGGGAACCAAGATGGACGGATGAGGTGCTCTCGGGCTGCTTCAGTGACGGCTGTGTGGTAACACCCGGTGTTGTCTGTCTCGAAGGTAGGCCAAGATGGGTGCGTACAAGTACATCCAGGAGCTGTGGAGGAAGAAGCAGTCGGACGTGATGCGCTTTCTGCTGAGGGTGCGCTGCTGGCAGTACCGTCAGCTCTCGGCGCTGCACAGGGCTCCCCGCCCCACCCGGCCCGACAAAGCGCGCCGCCTGGGGTACAAGGCCAAGCAAGGTGCGTGCTTGCACAGTTGCATGGCATTGTGCTCATCCAGAAAAGCTAAAAACGGGAAGACACTGTCGCCCCGTTGTCTTGGCTTTGCTAGCAGTGTGTGTCGTTCAAAACATTGGAATTTTTTTTTTAATTTATGAGTCTTACAATCTGGTGTTGTTGTGTATAGGTTATGTCATATACAGGATTCGTGTGCGCCGTGGTGGCCGCAAACGTCCAGTTCCTAAGGGTGCAACTTATGGCAAGCCTGTCCATCATGGTGTCAACCAGCTGAAGTTTGCGCGAAGCCTTCAGTCTGTTGCCGAGGTAAGTGATGGTGCAGTGATGGTAGTGATGGTGGGCAGGAAGAATTTGAGCAGCTCTTCTCATTACACGGAGGGGAGCCTCCTTATGTAAGATAGGGTCTGTGGTTTTTGACTGACTTAGTCTTGGCAGAGTAGTTTTGCTGTCGGAACTGTCAGTCTGTTACTGATCTATGCTTGTATGTATACTGAAAAAAATACAATTAATGAACTTGTGGAAACTAAGCTTTTTAAATGGCAGTAAACTTGGTCTTAGAGCACATTGTCAGACACATTTGTTTCCATTACTAGCCTGCAGGTTTTCTTCTGGATTAATAAATAAAGGTATGCTCTGTTGTAGGAGTTAGCAAACGAAAGCCATACGCTAAAAAATTTTTTGTCTTAGGACTTCTGCAGGAATTTTGCTGGCTTCTCCCACGTAATAGAAATGATAGGATTGAGGCTGGGGGTGCAGCTCAGTGGTAGAGTGAGTGCTATGTGTTGCCATGGGAAGGTGGGGGTTCTAATAGCCTCAATTTTTTATCCAAATATTGCCGTTTGTGCCTTAGAAGGGAAAGGAGTGATGAGTGAATGATATGTTTCGGTGCGATAGGGGGTTTGTCCAGTGGCAGTACGGGAGTTTGAGCTCAGGCCCAAGCTTATTAGCCAAGCACTCTACCCCTTTCAGCCACACCTCCAGCAAATGATGTACCAACGCGTAACATTTTACAGTCTGTTTTATCTTGCCATACTTAACGGTGACAGCCTCTAGGGAGAGATGCTTATTAAACATGTGTGGACGGCTTTAGTCTTTTGTCTAGGAGTGATCCAAAGTTAACAGTAAGGATACTAACTTGGCTTCTATAAGCAATGTGGGAGGCTGACCTTAGGCCTTTATTCCTATTCTAGGAGCGAGCTGGACGTCACTGTGGGGCTCTGAGAGTCCTGAATTCTTACTGGGTTGGTGAAGATTCCACATACAAATTCTTTGAGGTTATCCTTATTGATCCATTCCATAAGGCTATCAGAAGAAATCCTGACACCCAGTGGATAACCAAACCAGTCCACAAGCACAGGGAGATGCGCGGGCTGACATCTGCAGGCCGCAAGAGTCGTGGCCTTGGAAAGGGCCACAAGTTCCACCATACTATTGGTGGTTCCCGCCGTGCGGCCTGGAGAAGGCGGAATACTCTCCAGCTCCACCGCTACCGCTAATAAAAGTAATGTTTGTAAAATTCATACCTAATAAACAATTTAGGACAGTTGTGTCTGCTTAAAGGTGTTATTTGTCTGTTAAAACTAGTCTGCAGATTATTTCATGAATGCTTTGTCAAGTTATGGAAGTGCAATAATGTTTGAAGACTTAAGTGATGGTGTATCTTGTTTCTGATAAGGTAAACATTTTGTCTTTGCTTTATCTTATTAGGGAGTTATGTCAGTGTTTAGAACATGCTGTGTGGTCTAATAGGTGTAAAATAAATTCTTAAAAGTTGAGTGCTGAAACTAGCTCTGTAGATTTGTTCAGTGCATGTGATGAAACTTACAGCTTTATTGGGATGATGCAATGCTCTGCTGGTTTAAAGTGGCTGGGGTTTTAGAGTTTGGCAGGTACAAACTTAAATACTGGATTTTGCTTTGAGGTTTTTAGGAGAGGAGTATATTCTAACCAGATAACATGGTTCTATGTAGAAAAGTAATTGCTACTTCTGAAAGAGAAGTATCCAAAATGCCACGGTTTTCAGAAGAATCAAACCGGTTGTAGGAGGTTTCTAAAATCTAGGTTAGCCTGTATAAAGTCTTGAGTCTCCACGGTACCATGGAAGTTAACAAGGGTTATATTACTTCATGGGATGAAGAATCTTGAATTTGGTACACAGCAGTCAACGGTAACATCTTTGCACATTAAGTAGATAAGAATTACCTACCTTAAGGTTTGTAAGAAAGTGGTACAAGCTAAGAAGGGAAGCTGGTATACCAGTGGCTATTCAGTTAGTGTGTTTCAAGTGTGCGCTTAAAAAGTTCAGCTTGAGTCAAGATTTTAAAATATCCATAACTATAGCTGATGAGCATTAGGAAATCTGTAGCCACATGGAGGTAAGATGCTCTGTCACCTGAGCCACATCCCCAGTTATTATGCTTGGCTATTGGAAAGTACATCTTTGCTCAGTTCAGTCAACACATACTGGGATAACTCAGTTTATCTGCTCCCATAAAGCTATTAGGAAAGCTGTCAATACAAGTTACTGTTGTCTGCAGTTAACTTTTCTCATCTGTGGTTAAATTGCCCTCAAAATTTCGTAGCAATCAAAAACCATCAATTAAGCTTACCACCATATTGGGGTTTTTTTTGTTGTTGTATTTATGTTGTCTTCTAGTAGACTGGGCTATAGTTTCCCAGAGTAGATTTGAGTGTGGGAGAAATAAAGAAGGAATTTTCCTTAATACAAATGCCGAGTTTACAATCTTCATAATAGATGGCTTGGTTTTAAAATCTGATGATTCCCTGAACTGATTTTTCTCTTATTTTCTCTAGGGGTTTTAAAAGGTGCCTGCTTATTTCCAGAAAACATGCATAGCGGGCTTATAAAACATTGAAACCTAAATTCTTTCTGCTCAAAAGAAACCATACATATTGATTGTGTGTAGAGGTTGTTTAACTAAAGGAATAAATGTGTATTAAACTAAAGTGGACCTTATGTTATCTTTTGTCATCTAGTTCTAATGTGCTTTAAAGCAAACCAAGTAACTGCAACAACAAAAAACTACTGGCAGGAATATTTTGAGGGGAAATAAAACATTTTACTTAGGAGTTTTCTCTTGGTTCTTTGCTTGTTGTGCAAATCAGAAAAACATCTAAAGAAAAGATGCTAATTTGGGAAGGAGAGGGAGTACTCTGCCAAAGGTCAGTGTCACCTGTACAGAAAGGGTTTGCTCCCTGGACACAGCGACACGGCAGCTAGGGGACTCTTCATTGTTAATGGCATCCCTGAAGTAGAAAGCAAAGTCCTCACCATATAACCTCATGTTCTATTGTCCATGGGGTCTCCTCCCAGCCTCATTGTCTCTCACTTTCACTGTAGTACCTTTATGATGATAAATGTACCTAGATAGTAAACACCACCTTATTAGGTACTCTTTGACCACCCACAATCTGCTCCAATAATTTTTTTGAGCCAGGTCTTGCTCGCTGGCTCCATTCATGACCCCCTGCCTCAGCCTCCTGAGTACTTGACCTGGAGGTGTGTGCCACCACACAGCTTTTGCTTTTATTTCTCTGTCAGCATGTAAACAAAACTGCTCAAATTTTCTTTAGAACATTTAGGAAAATGAACAGACACCTAAATAATGAAGAGCAAGAATATAAACTGGGAAGGTATTAATGGGAGAGGGGAGGGCAAAAGAGTGAAAGCGGTGAGTATGGCACACTTTCTATACAAGTATGAACATGGAACACTGAAACCTGTTGAAGTCACCTTAAGGGGACCAGGTAGGAGGGAAAATAATGGAGGGGATTAACCAATT